CGAATGGAATAGAATAGAACAGAATAGAATAGAACAGGGAATGGAATGGAATGGAATGGAATAGAACAGAATGGAATAGAATAGAACGGAATGGAATAGAATAGAACAGGGAATGGAATGGAATAGAACAGAACAGGGAATGGAATGGAATAGAACAGAATGGAATGGAATAGAATAGAACAGGGAATGGAATGGAATAGAACAGGGAATGGAATAGAATAGAACAGAAGAGGGAATGGAATGGAATGGAATAGAATAGAACAGAACAGGGAATGGAATGGAACAGAAGAGGGAATGGAATGGAACAGGGAATAGAATAGAATAGAATAGAATGGAATGGAATAGAATAGAACAGAATAGCTATGGTCATCTCATAGCCACTGCTGTGTTGCAATATTTTTGGGGAGGGCTTATTTTAGCACAAGGACTCAAAAGCCCGATGGGCTTATTATCCAGGAAAGTCTTATGTTGGGGGAAACAGGGTATAAGAGATAAATCATGATCACAGCCATCATAAAAATACATCACAATCAACATAAACAAACTATTGTAAGTCGAGGACTACCTGTAGCAACAACGGCCACTTAATTCTCACTCTTCCACCACCAATGTGAGGAGTGGGCTACAGTTTTCTGTTCTCAAAGGCAGAATCCCCACCTACCTGTTCCATATGTTCAAAGACATCCAACGTTGCAATAGATGCTGGCGCTTCCTCAATAATCTTCTGATGCCGGCGCTGCACGGAACAGTCTCGGCCGAAGAGGGAGATGGCATTGCCATATTGGTCAGCAAGGATCTGGACCTCAAGGTGGCGGGATTGCTTAGCCAGTCGCATCACAAAAATCGGCGAGCCGGGCACCTCAGCTTGTACCTAAGAGTCACACATAAGAAGGCAATGACCAAGCAATTGGGTTGTTAGGAGAGTAATACAGTATATTTGCCATGTTCAAAAGCCATTCAGAAAAAGGCCCAAAGGTGCTTTTTCAAACGGCAACTGAACTTCCTTTGTTTTTTCCTTGAAGTTGTTTCCCTTCACATCTAAGAAGCTTCTTCAGTTCTGTCTGAATAGTGGAGGATGGAAGCATTTATATTTCTTGCAGTCCTCTGGTCGTTAGCACTCCTTCTGAGTGTTGTGGAGACCACTTTGAGGTTTATTTGTGCCCTCGGAGTCATCTGAATAGAGCAAACAGGTGTGGAGCCTTCTTGGAACTGCTAAAAGGACTGTGTTTTAAACAGGAGATAGGTGGTGTCGTATCCCATCCCCTCTGTTGAGAGGGAGGCTGTTCAATTTTAACATAGATAGCCTCTTTTTTTTTTAATTGAGAATTTTGAAAAAAAAAACTTTTACAAATATTTACTTCCCTCCCCCCACCCTCCCCCCCCCAACCCATGGCACGATAAAACCGCGAAGCCCTTATCCGCGGAGACATAAGCGTGTCGCTAAAGCCGCGATGTCATCACCGCCGCGACAACAGCACGGCAACAGAAGGGCGCTTTAAAACGGCGCTGCGGCAGAAAGCCGATTTCAATTAAGGTAAGGGTTAGG